GACACACTTCTCACACTGCTCTCCAATAGCCGGGCATCCTAATGGATTTCCGTACATTTATTTTTTCGTTCAGCAGCAGCGTGTCCTTAACCCTCTCCCCCGGGGCTGCTAGCTATAGCAGCACAGTGCTCAGCAAGCTGCCAGCGCCCAACACGGCTGGCAGATTTTTTTTTTTTGCCACTGGTTACACAACCCGTGATGCGCCAAAAGCCGTGCTTGCGGTACACCGGGTGTGCTCCCGTTCCCTCCCGGGGCCGGCAGCCCTGCGGAGGCACCGCCGCTCCGGCTGCTCTACCGGGGGATGTGGACCCCGCTATTTTATACTGAAGGGAAGGCAGCAGCGTTTTGCCGGGGGTTGGGGGTCCCGGGTTGGGTCACGGCGGAGATGTGAAGCAGCCAGTGCCGGAGCCCAGGATGCCCGAGCAGCCGTGCCCAGCTCCCTGTCCCGGCCCCCGCCCCGACCCCCGCGCCGTCCCGGTGCCCTCTGCCCAGCCCCGGCCCGCGTACCACGCTGCTTGAGGCGGCTGGCGGCGGCGGGAGCCCGGCTCAGGCGGGAGGCCAGCGCCTGCGAGGCGGCCCTGCAGAAGGACATGGTGGTGGCGGAGCGGCGGGCAGCGGAACGGAGCCGGCTCTCGGCTGCTCGCTGGGCTGCGGCGGCAGCTGCGGTGCCGCCTCGGGTACCGCGGGGGCGGGCCCAGCCGCAGCCCCGCCCCGAGCACCTGCACCGGCCGTGCCCCGGGGATGGGACGGAGCGGAGCGGAGCCCCCGCCGCAGCGGGAGGAGGCAGCGGCTTTAAGGAGCGCTGCCGACACCGAGCTGCCCCACGGCAGGTAAATGGCTATGGCGTTCGGTACTGACTGCAACACAGACCCGGAGTAACAGCGATAGCATTTACCAAGGCGAGGAACTACTGCATTACTCAAAAAGGAATTTCTCTAAGAGGAAAAAAATGGAGAAACCAATTAAATCCACAGCGAAGGGCACTCAGGTTAAGCACCGTGCCAAGGCGTTCGGTGCTGGCAGTGAAACGCTCTTAGGGAATCGCTGCTCTGGGATCATGCCGACTGTCAGTCATGGGCGTCTCCGGGTCAAACCGGTGCAGCTGTCCTTGTCCTACACAAGGTTTGTCCTCCTTCCTCTATACAGAGCTTCTTTGTCCCCTCGATGATCCATCTAATGCCACATTCTGCCGACTGCCATGTGCCATTTTTCCAGCCTTTGTCCTTGACTGACCTTGATGCAGCAAGAGAGGGTAGAAGTGCTCAGAAGGCAGTGCTCACACCCACGATTGACATGGGCTGTGCACTCTCACCAGGCATGGCAGTTCCCAAAATGCTCACAGGAAAACTCATATTTTAGCATTTACACAGATCCTATTCTTATATTTGCTTATTTCATAAATTTAGCAGTGAAAGTGATAACAGAGCAAGAATACTCTTCTGGAATGTTTACTGAATTTCATCTGGTGTCTAACTTTGTAATATACCTTCCAGAATAGCAAAGACAGTTTTGAAAATAAGACTGATAAACCGTGAAATGGAAATGCCACATAAAACAACTTCAAGACCAGCAGAATGAAATATTGATGGCAAAGAAAGTAGTTTCAGGTTTCTTCCAGACTTTATAATTTATTTTTAATTATGCACATGAAATGTATGAACATACAAGTAATTAGATAACTTTTTACTTCTTCTGTGCTCGTTTATTTGTAGGACAACGACCATGTACACTTTGCTCTGTAGTGCACATCTCTTTGTGACCATGTCATCAACCTAAGAAAGAAGAGAAAAATTTATTAGCAATAAGAAAAATTATGTGATGAAAGTTGTCAGAAACATCTCATAACGTCCTGCATTTTTATCTGGAGAGGCATGTTCATGGGGAAAAATAACCACAGCACCACAAGTTTTTCTGTAGTATAAGGAATTTTTTCATGTGGCATATTAATTGCTATGAGGCCGTAATCCCCAAAGACTTCTTAGCTGGCAGAAACATAAATTATGTTTTTTATACTGAAAAGGGACAACGACCACATACACTTTGCCCTATAGTACACATCTACAGGCATTTACTTTACATCATTTTATGTGTAATACAGAAGTGAAACAGAGAAAAAACCACACTCCACTGTATACATGTTAAAATAAAACACAAGATGAAAAGATAAGCTATCGTTAGCCGCTCTTGTTTCCTTGCCACTGAGCCATTTATAAGGCATTCAATTTACAACCTTTATTTATTGTAGGCATTGTAAGAGATGTGTTATTTTCTAAGTCTCCATGTACAAGATAGAAAGCTGAGAGGGAATATGCACACAAGTGAATATATGAAAATACAGATCAGTCACCTTATCATTTTAAAGCTGGGAATGAGTTAAAAGAATAGCAAAAGCCAAATGCAAAGTACTGAGGAAAAAAAGAATAATATAAGTCAGTTCAGTATCTTGAGTCCTAAAAGATGTCAAAGATCTTCAGAATTTGTGTTCAGCTAAGTCAAAAGCATTAGTATGTGTACACTTACTATGAACATCCTGTACACTTATGTCTTCTCTTTTGTTGTCTTTTTTCATATTCCATCACATCTTCATTATGCTCCTTGATAAGCTGTAAAATAGCAGTAATTATAAACAGCTATACAATTCACAGCTGGATCCAGACAACAAACAGAGTTCTACAGAATATAAAACAGTTGTTATCAGAATGCAAACCAGTATGTAACTGGGACCATCCGGAATACAACCTATGTAAATTAATTGAAAAAGATGTGGAAACAATGCCTCATAGGACAAACATTGTCTCCTGACCAGACGGGGTGGCTCCCACTGACAATTAATTCACCACCCCCAAAAAAGGGGGAAGCCCCAAAAGGAGTTCATCCCACCCTGAAAACACTGTCACCATGGGGAGTGCTGTTTATCCTGCACGATTCTTCCAGACAGCTACTACATCCTGCTTGCTTTAACAGCATAAAGTCTGTGAAATATTCTCTGAAACAGAGAATATCTGCACTTTGTTTAGGAAAAAGAGGCTTTATCTATTGAAATCAACCAAAACCACCTTAGCCAGCCGAAAAGTAAGAAGAAAATGCATTGGTAGTCTGATAAACTCAACATTATCTGGGCACATCCCTAGGTCTTCTTTCTTTTTGGAAAGACCATGGGGAAAATAATACCCAAGCATTAATCTAATAGGCTTGAAGAATTAATTATGTTGTGGCTGTTTTAAGTTTGAAACAGAGAGAAGCTCAAGAAGTTGTTCATTTCTTAAAATAAGAGCACAACATAAAGTTGGGAAAACGTAAGCAATGAACATAATGATGCTTCAATCTTGACACCTGCTATGACCACCCATTACCCCAAAAAACTCAGTAAGTTGCAGTCATTGCATTCATATCACTATTATGATTTTTAAGGAATAGTTAAGTTCAAAAAAACCAAATGAAAACACTTACAAAAGCCCACACAGCAGCACTGGTGCCAAACGCCATGCCAACTCCCAGCCAGCTTGGTTGGCCATTATTCACTTTTTTCACAACAGATGCAGAACGAGTAAAAGCTAAAAAGGCACAAGATTACAAATGCATTAACATTCCTCAGGGTTAGACCACCAAGTACTCACTGACATTCGTGCAATCGGGGAAAAAAACCAAATCACAACGCAACTCCCAAATGAATGCAATGATGAAGTGGTCTCCATAACATTGTCACAGCCGATCCCTTCGTAGGATCCCCGCGAGAGGGGACGGGGAGGCAGCCAACAACTCCAAAGCAGTGCTTTTTGCCCGTTTCCCAACCACAATAACTATTTACCCCCGCATTTTCGGCTCTATAAGGATGCCTCTCGCCGTGTCCTGCCTAAAGCCACGGGCCCCGGGCCTTTCCCACCTCCCATCCTCCGCTAACCAAGTGCGCTCCGGGCAGGCACCACCATCGCGGCGAGACAAGGTGAGCCCTCTCCCCGGCCTGGAAGCAACACCGACTTAAAACAGATAAGTAAAAGATGATAAAAATGACTAATGGGCTTCGAGTAAAAACAGTAAAAGGAGAGAAGCTACCACCGAAGCTTCCTCTGACCCCAGACGCGGATTGGCTCACGGGGACACCACCACCGCTGCCGCCTGCACAGCAGAGCTCCCACACCCCCAGGTCAATGGGCCGGGTCGGGACAAAGCCCAAGAGCTTGGCCCGAAATGGCTCTCGTCCCGCCGCCGCTCACCAAGGCGGGGTGCTGCCGCCACCAGTCCCCAGCGCCTCACCGCCCTCAGGCCCGCCGCCATCTTGTTGTCCGGACGCGGCTCCGCCCGCGGGGGTGGGACCACCCCGCCCCGCCCGTGCCCGGCGCCCGGGCGGGCGAGCTCCGCCGCTCAAGGCCCGGCGGACCCTGCGCAACCCCATGGCTCCCCGCCCTTCCCCGCCCGCCGCCGGCACCCAGCGGTGCCGCCGCCGCGCTGGAACCACCCCGGGCCGGGCCCGGTTCGGCGGCGGAGCGCACGCAATTGGCGGGGCGGGGCCGGCGCGGGGCCGCGGCGCATGCGCGAGAGCGCCGTGACCCGGCTGGGGAAGCGCCGCGCTGCCATTTTGGCGGCGGCTCGGCGGCCGCTCGGGACCACGTGAGCGCGCCCGGGGCTGGCGCGGGGAGCCCGGCGCGCGCGGCGGCCGGAGGGGCCGGGAAGGACCGGGAAGGGCCGGGCCCGCGGCGGCGCGGGCGGCGGGAGCGGCGATACTCCAGCGGGGAGGCTCACGGCGGCGGCGGCCGAGCGGCGGGGACGGGACGTAGCCCGCCCGCCCACTCACTCACTCTCCTCCTCGGAGCCCCTCGGCGGCGCCGGAGCCGGCGGCGGAGAGGATGCCGTCGGTGAGCCTGCCGCCCAAGGAGAACGCGCTCTTCAAGCGCATCCTGGTGAGTGGCGGGGCGGGAGGCCCGGGCTCGGCTGCGGGGAGCGGGTTGAGGAGGCCCCGGCTCGTACCCTGAGCCGGCGGGGAGCGGAGCCCCGGCGCCACCGCCCCGGCCGCGGCTCCTTCGGGCCGGGGCAGGCCGGGCCCAGCGCCGCCCGTCACCCGCAGCCCGTCCCGCCCGAGCGGGGCAGTGCCGGGGGCTGCCGCGTCTCCCCGCTCGCCCACCACATCCCGGCGCTGGCCGCGGTGAGGCACCCCGGGCTCCGGGAAATGCCCCGCGGCCGCTTCATTCATCGCTCGCCCTTGCAGCCGCCGTCCTGCCGAACCACCCGCCCTGGGTTCGCTTAATTTTTTTTTTTTTTTTTTTTTTTTTATAACTCATTGTTTTGCTGTAGACAATAACCGTGTTTGTTGGTCGGTGGGAAGATGGCTTTCGAAGGAGGAAGTGGAGAAGGACGAAGGTTTTGAAGTCTTCCCGAAGTTTAATTTGCAGCCAACTCTTGTGGAAATTTGTCAATCGATTTTGCTGGGTGGCAGCTGGCATATGGATGAGAGAGCACTCAGTGGAATTTAGGCAATAAGCCTGGTTTTCAGAATGAGGTTAAGATGGTCTGCAGTCCAAATACCAGCAAAGTGTGCTCAATTCAGCTACATCTTAAGGAACTTGTTTCAGCTTTCATGCGGTGTTACAGGAATATTGTGTTTCTAAGGACTTGAGTTGAATTGGAAATGTCTTAAGTTTGTTAGTAAGCGACTTCAGTGGATTTATTTAGAAGATTCTGTATCTAGAGTGAGCTGTTTTCTCTCAGAAGAAGTTGGTTTTGTCTAAAAATCTCGTGTTGTATTGCAAAGAGACATTACTCTTGAGTTATTCCAAAGATCAGAAGTAAGACGAGTACTGTTGGAGCAACAGCACTCTTAAGGTTCTGTAAACTTCTGCCACTTAAGTGGGAGGGATGTGTGCAGGCTTCTGTCACTTCTGTTTCCAAAATATTTTGTGAAAATGGAGCACGTAGACCTAGAAAGCCCTCTGAGCAGGCATGTGACCATGAAAGCTGCAGTTTCAGTTAGGGTTAAAAAGTAAATATGATGAACTACAAATCTGATTTCTGCTTTGAAAGATTCGGTCTTGCTTCCGACTTGGTGTGACCTTGTACTGAGTATGTAGTTTTTGCTGTTTTATGGGCTGGGAAAGATTTAGTCTTGCTGCTCAGTGATCCATCCTCCTTTGCATTGAGAATGGTTTATGTGGTTACAGGGTACACTGAATCAAGGAGCTCGTCTGTGTGTAAATCTGAGCGGGTTTGGTTGGTTTTTTGTTTCTTTCTTTTTTTTTCTTTTTTAATTTTTGCCTTTGGTTGGATGTGTCTGAGTATTTGTGCAGAGAGCAGGAACAAACGAGGAATGAGTGTCTTTGGAGAAACTGCTGGCTCAGCACCCTTGCATTCATAATTTGATTCAGATTAGAAAAGGTGTGCCCCAGTGCAAGCAGATTTCTGTATACTTTTTTTTTTAACTGAAAATCTTTAATAAAAATCGAGGGGTTTGAGGTATCTGGATAGGCTAAAAGCTGTTGTTTCATTGTGATCTTTTCCTGTGTCTCACAGGGATGAGCCTGTCAGACAGATGTGTAGTCTGGTGTTTAAGACTGCCTTGTGATGAGGTATCTTTATAACACATGGTGACTGAAAAAGGCTCGAAGCTGATTTTCATCACACTGAAAATTTTGCTAATGAACTGCTTGTCTTCCTAGTTATGGATAATGATCCTACTTTGTGAAGTTTTGGTTATGTGTTTGACTTGAATTAGTGAGACATCTTTTAGGAAGTCCCAAGTGCAAGCCTTAAGAAAAATCGCTTCCCTTCCCCTGTGTCTTCACACCTCTCTCATTATGCACTGTCCTTTCTAGAGATTGCAGTGCTTCATCCTCTGCCACCTCTTGTGGTGTCCTGTGGGAGGCTGAACAGCAGTAGGAGGAGCTGAGGAGGTCTGGTCTGCCTGTGCAGCTCTGAGCCCCCGGCCAGGAATTGAGGTGGTCCTGGGTAAACCCATGCTGCCTCCTGGCCCAGCCTCGTGTCCTGTTCAGCATGCCTGGATGAGATTTTTTTGGACAAATGCTTTGGGAACTGGCCCAAGTGTTATTGAAAGCATGCAATACCCTACAGATACGTAGTTACTCGTACACAGGCTGTTAATAGAAGTATAAACCCGTTCCCATTGTGATTTTCAGGAAGATAATAAACACAGGAGCTAACTGAATAACTGCCTCGTATTTTTGCAAGTGAAGCATGAAATTGGGTTTTTTTCAATCTGTTTTGTGTGTTTTCAATTCCTGAGTCCTAATCTCTTTTTTTCGTAAGGTGTATACCTGTAACCCAAATGTTACCAACCTGTCCAGCTTTGCATAGCAAAGGGCAATAATTAGCTTTTAGAGTTTGATATTTTTTGTTTGTTTAGTAGTAAGCATCCTGCATGGTCAGTACCTTTCCCATGTGTATGGGTTTGCTCACAAGTCAGCATTTCCACTTACCTGACAAATCCTGAGTTCAGAAGTGTGCACGCTTTGCGTGTTCCAACAGTGTAACTAGACTAACCTCTTCTAGTCACTTTACAGGCATGTGGAGGTTCTGATAGAAACATTTTTCCATTTGAAAGACATTTTACAATTCAGAGTTCCTGTAGTACAGCAGGAAAGAGATCTGCATGATTAGCGTGAATAAAAAAAACACCCACAGGATTAGCAATCACTGTTCTCCATAAACTTCCACTTCCATTTAAAAAATGTGTCTGGCTCATATAGTTTTTATACTTTTAACTATTTGCGATTATCTCTACGATTAGATGTTCTACTGCTCAGAGATTCTGAGGAATTTAGTACAAACAAATCTGAACGTTAAAATAATTGAGTCCTCATGATTCTTTCAAGCACACATAATTTCTAGGCAGTCAAGAAATTACTGGAGAAGAATTCAGGTGGAGGCAGGGGAAAGGGTAGAATAGTAAACACAGCGTAGTAATGGGTAAGTTGGCATTTTGTTACACAGAAGGCTGGATGCACTATCAAGTAATAGAAAAAGTAGTTTATTCCATTTCCTTCCCCACACCCCTTACTATCAACTATAGAACTAGTAGTTGTAGGAAGTAAGCATGACTGATGTTTAATTAAATATGACTGGTGAATGTTCCTTGACCATTCCTGGCATTTTGCCGGGTTATTCATCTACTGTATCTGCTCAGGTACAGTTCATCAATGATGTTCAGTTGTATTTCACAAATCCCAAAGATAATACTTGATTAAGTTTTCCTTGGATGTAGAAGTTAAATATATTTATTGAAAAGGTACTGAAGAAAAATTAAATGCAAAGTTAGATGTGCCCTATATTTTGTGGGAGTTTTTTCAGTCCTCTGAAACATCAGGATGAGGTTCTTGGAGTTCTGGCAGACTGAGGTGGTGTGAATATTTTTTACCATGCATAGTGAGCTTAGCCTTTAATGAGCAAAGAGAAAAAAAGTCCAAGTCTTTAAGAAGTGAAACATCGTTGTATTTTATGTTGGAAACAAGCAATGCAGTTGTGTAAGTGTGTTCAGTTCTTGTTTAAACAGTTTCACTAACTGACAGCTCTTATTTTGTGCTGTAGAAATAGTGTGCTGAGGAAGAGGATGCCTTACTGGTCTGAGCTGGTGTGAAGATCAGTTTCCCTGTTCAGGACTGGGGATTAGCCATGGCCATTTTGACATAGGGAGGTGTTCATCTTTCATCTCTGTCGGGTTCCTTAGGTGCTGTGCAGACTTGACTGGGCATGGCCAAAACCCGTGTGCTCCAGTGCGGCATTGCAGTAACCAGCGTGGCTGCTGCAGGACAGGGACGTTTCACCTTCACCACTGGTCATTTTTACCTTAACATTGCAGTGCTTGAGGGCATTGTCTTTGAGCTGGTGGTCTTCTTTCCATGCTAGCTTTGACAAGAGTTGTACTAAGTGATATAGGAACTTCCTGGTGATAAAAAGCCTGTTGAACAACCTCTCTTCAATGCCTCTGCTGTAAATATGCCAAGTCCCTCGTGCTGGGCCATCTTCCTGTTTCTTCATTCCATAATCTGTTCCCTGGCCCTGCACTTTGAAACTAGACAGACCAGTGCTTCTCCTTTACTAATACTTTCATCAGCATAAATCCTTTAAAAAGAATGTTCTGTCTACAGAAATTCAGGTGCCGACTTGGAAATCTCTTCCTACGTCATCTTCATTTAAGATTAAAGACCTGATTTCCAAAATTACAGTTTTATCAGTAACCAAGTAAATTAGTTTGTTTGCAATCGTTGTTGCATTTGCATGGCTGTACATTAATCAAGTATATACACCACTGGAATTTTACCATGTACTGTCATTGAGTTGAAATATGGAA